CAAGGACTCAGCCTTGGTACATGGGTCGCCAGCTCTACCCACTGAGCTAACTGGGTGCCCTACTCTCTGAACTTTATTTATTTTTTTAATTATTGTTAGAGGCCCAAAGTGGTGAAACTCACTAATATTTCACTAAAAAAAGGAAAGAGAAAAGTCCAAAGCTGAAAACTAATTTGTGTATCGGACCTTTGTTTTATTCTTTCCCACCATATTAATCATTATCTTCATATTTATCTTAGGAACCACTGGACTAAACTCGCTAACTGTATATAAAGTACTTAAAACTACTTCAAAAAGTACACTTTGGTGATAATCTTTCTGTACTTTTAGTAGGATTTTAAATGCAGGACTTTGGAGTCTTTTTACATTGTAGTACCGGTACTTTTACTTAAGTAAAATACCTGAGTACTTCTCCCACCACCGCTAAACACTGAACCTTTGTGCATGTGTTCCCTCCTACTCAAAGAGGTTAGTGGTGGAAAATACTAACCACAGCAGCAGCAAATGACAAGTATTTACCTGGCATTTCTGTATGTGTGAGTAATGGAGTTTTCCAGGTCTATTATCATCTTCCTGTGTTAAGTATTTTAATACCTAAACAGGTTTAAAACTGGTGACCTTCTGAACCTCTTATAATATTAAATAGTTAATCACACATAGATGACGAACATGTAAAGCAAAAGCAAACATCTATTCATACAGTTTGTGGATCCCCATCCAAAATCTTCTTTGAAATAGTCTACCTATAATACAAAACAGCCTTTTATATATTTGGGTTTACTCTGATGTCAATAGATAAACTTACAACTTTGTCATGGTAACAGACCTGCCAGTCTATTACAGGGAAAACACAAAGAGAGAAACACATTCACACATAAAGGGATTTTCTGTGAGGTCAACCTGAACAATGTAGCATGTGGGAGGAACCTGGAGCTGATGGAGGAAACCTGTGCAAACATTTGGAGAACATGCACATCCCCTGAACCCAGCACAGAAATGGTTACTAAGTGTTGCTAATAACATAAACAATGGCTCAGTTGTATTCGACAATACTAAGACCCATAAAATAGAGAAAAAGCAGCTAAATGGAATTCAAAGATCACTCATTTTATTATTTATACATGTATAAGATGTAAGGACAATGCTGCTTTAAAATTAGTTATATTCATCCCATTAAAGTTCATTCATATTCATAATACTTGATCTAAAACAATTTGAGCCACAAGCAGAAGCATTATTGTGATTATCAGGCAATAATTATCGGGCCATTTATTCACGTGTTGGATCTAAAAGAGAAAAAGAGGGCTGGAGTCTGAATCCCTGATGAATCTCTGTAGATGAACACGAGAAGATGCTAAAATATACAATTTTAAATCAACTTGCCTCTCCATGAAACAATAACTGATGTCATGTTATGCTGTGATTGCCCTCTAGATGGAAGCATTTCTTATCCATAACAACTGCTGCACATTTTACTCCATTTTTTTTTATCAGTGAACTGACTCAATAGCTGAAAATGGAAAACTGTTTATGTTGTAACATCTGGATCATTTAAGGAAGGAAAATGGGGATGTGATATCAACATTCTGTGGTGAAAAGGCAACAAATTGTCATTTTACTATCTTTTAAACAAATTTTTCTGCAATTTTGTCACTTAAAACTATTCCTTCCTGTCAGACACAGTGTGTGTGTGTGTGTGTGTGTGCAGTATGATCATATTAATATACCCAAGTTCATCAAATTGGTGTTATCTGTCATGGACCAGAGAAACACACTACTTTCATTCATCCTTCCTTCCTGTTTTTTGGTCGGTGATACAGCTCACAGATGTGTTTTAACCCTATCGAGCCAAAATAGAGTTGCTGTCGTTGCATTAACTGTTTTATTTTGCATCAGTTGATAATTATTTAATGTATGATATATTAACAAAATAAATGTTTTGCACTAAATATGGAAAACTCCTTCA